TCTGGAACGGATCCACTCAGCCTCGCGACGATAATTGAGGAGCTATTTCAAGGAAATACTTGCTCTGGGCTAGAAAACCGAGATTAACGGCCGTGGGGATTCGTTGCGCTGACCACGCGACACCCTCTATCCGCGAAAGTTGGCACTAACGTCGCCGACAAGCGGCATTTGCTCGGTCGGTATAGTTCGCTTGCGGACTAAAACCACAGAGGTTCTTATTTTTTTGTATTGGTGCTGATCGACAGAGTACGTTGGAATACTCACATGATGACACGTAGCGCTTCGCTGAAACTATACTAGGGCCACTCGCTTTCTCGAAACATCTGTTTCAGTGAGCGCTACATCACAGTTGTTACTCTACATTTTCCCCATAAATAATTCCCGGATATTGTATTCAAAGATCCATAATCATGCAGGTTCCTGCCATAGTCTCATTGCAGGCAATTCCTGTTCGTTGATGGGGTTTCTTTGAAAACAAAAAGATACACGGGCCTCATTACAAGGAAAAAATTTGCATCACCGTTGCGTGTTACGAAACATTTGGGAAGAAGCACGGAACGAGAGAGAAGTTTGATTTCCGAGAGTGTTGTGAAGTGGATGGGGGGGGGGACTTAAAAAAATGAACTTCATTTAAGTATAGAAGTTTTAAAATATAAGAAAGAGTGGAATAGAAAGGATGAACCACTATACAAAACAGACTTATTTATCAGCTTCTATTCAACTCGGTTTGTTAGCAAGAGAGCTTGTAATATAGAAGGCACTGCTCTCGTACCCGAAAGCAATAATTTTACTGCAGATCCATAAGTCAGAACGATTTTTAGATCTGAAGACCGAGAAATTTTCACTCCTTTAACTGCCGAAATAATTTATGAACTACAAAACGATTACATATTAAATACATACGCTATTGCGTAAATTCTATATAAATTGTATGTACTAAACAATGAAAATTAGAATATGCAAAATTATAATTTTGCCTGTGGTTCTATATGGGTGTGAAACTTGGTCTCTGATATTAAGGGAGGAGCATAGGCTGAGGGTGTTTGAGAACAGGGTGTTGAGGAGAATATTTGGATCGAAGAGAGATGAAGTGACAGGAGGTTCGAAAAAACTGCATAATGAGGAGCTTCATAATTTGTACTCTTCTCCAAGTATAATTACAATAATCAAGTATGGGAGGATGAGGTGGGCAGGGCATGTAGCACGAATGGGGGAGAAAAGGAATGCATATAGGATATTGGTGGGAAAGCCAGAAGGAAAGAGACCACTGGGAATACCAAGGCGTAGGTGGGCGGACAATATTAAAATGGATCTTAGAGAGACAGGATGGGATGGTATGGAATGGATTGATCTGGCTCAGGATAGGGACCAGTGGAGGGCTCTTGTGAACACGGTAATGAACCTTCGGGTTCCATAAAATGCTGGGAAATTCTTCAGTAGCTGCAGATCTGGCTTCTCCTCAAGAAGAGCTCAGCTCCATGAGTCAGTGCTAAACAACACAAGCCAAATAGTACAGCTCAGATAGCTTGGTAGATTTACAGACTAGGATACGGGCTAGACGACCGAGGAATCGTGGTTCAATTCTTCTCCACAGCGTCCAGACCGGCTCTGAGGGCTATTTACAAGTGGGTTGAGTTGCCGGCGCATCCAGCTGCCACTCACCTCGTCTTAGGGCTGACGTTAAAATGCATGGAAATATACCTCAGCTCCAATATCTGTCCTCATGACGTGGTGCTTGTATGTGTGTAAGGGGTGGCCATAAAACCCGGCCTTCGCACCGCGACCTACAATGATCTGTTGTACTTCCCCTTTGGATTAACCCATTATTAATCCTACACATCGAATGAAATGCAGGACTTTATTTACGGGGGCGTCGTAAAAGTTACTTGGTTTCATGAAGAACTGGCCCAGGTGACGAAATCTTAAATAAGCTATGGCCTCACAATCGCATAGGACATGACGTGGTGCTTAATTAAGCATAGGGGCTTTACCTTCATAGGTATAGATTATGAATATGAGTGTTTCAGCCTCTTTACATTAATTAATTAAAAGATCAAAATTATAGAAATGATCGGTTCCAGGTGGCTTCCCTGATGTTTTTGTTCCCGTTGGCACTACAGCCCCAGTGGGCCTAGGCCTACCTCCATGAACTTCTCCGTTCACTTCGGTTTTTCTACATCTTACACATTCGGTAGGACTCCTTGGGCGGGTGATCAGCTCGTCGCAAGGCCTCTACCTAAACATCCATGTCCTGAGTGCGATTCGAACCCACGATCTCCGTTTCCAAGCGAGCGAAGACAGTTCCTTGATGTTTACGTTACATAATAAAACTGACAGATATTATGGACGGCCCCACGTTGATTCAAAATGTCCTGCTTTCGGAATCATGTATCTAACGGGTATTCTGATTAGATACTATAGGGTTCTGACGACGGTGTATAACACAGACAGATCCTGGGTTTTCGGACTTTGTCCATCGTCCGGATTTTAAATAACTAAGAAAACACACAACGTTTCGAAAACTGGATCTGTTTCCGTCCTCAGGTGAGGGAAAACACCTCCTCTGTTGGGTCCCTTAGAAAGTCAGTGGAGGACCAGTATGAATAACCTAACCTAACAACTAGAGAACTCAGCTACGTATCATTTTCTGTACAACTACGATAGCTCAGTCGGTACATCGACTGGCTACGGGCTGGACGGCCGAGAGATCAGACTTCGAGTCGCAGCAGAGGTAAAATTTTTCTCCTCACTACGTCGTTAAGATCGGTTCTAGGGCCCACCCACTGTCCTATCCAATGGATAGTGGGGGCTCTTCGCCGGGAATAAAGCACCTGGGATGTGAAGCTGACCACTCACATGGAACTAATGCCGAGGTCAAGAATACGTGGATCTACACATCCACTCCTCCATACGTTTTCACGATGTAGTGCTTAATTAATTAAGGACAGGGACAACTTTAGCTTTTACTTTCAAGATTAATGTAGAGCTATAGGGCCGTGCCATAATTCAGGCGGTTAGTCGCTGGCTTCCCACAGCGGGGCCCCGGGTTCGAAGCCGGGTCAGGTCATGTGGGATTTGTGCTCGACAAAGTGGCACTCGGGCAGTACTCCGTTTCTCCCTGCCAATCTTCATTCCACCAACTGCTCCACAATCACCATCATCTATCATGTGGGGCTGGTATAATAGGCCAATACTGGTCGCAGAATCAAATGGACTCTGTCTCACCCCACTAAGCAAAAAGGGTAAGTAAAGTTATCCCTGTAACAGGCCGTGGAGGCCTATACGGTTGTGAGACATCGAGGTTCCACATTTTCTAGATAATCGGCTCATAGATGGCGGTAAGGTTGTCAGCCTTACGCGCCAGCAGCTCTTTACTCCCAAGAATATTCCTGGTACTCATTTCTGTGAGGCTGAGCCGACCCAGGGCCATAGTGCGGCTGGAAGGATTGGGTCAATTGTAAAAAAATCCAGTGACTTCATCGGGACTTGAACCCGCGACCTTCCGGCTTGTAGCATAGTGTCTCAACCAACAATGTTAATAATAATGAAAATAATAGTGGAGAGTTTTTATTGTTAATCACCATCGTATGAAGACGTACGAGTATGGCGAAGTGAAGTTACAGATCCATGCATTCATTACGTCAGAACTAGATGCATCAGAAAATTTTCACTCCCGGAAAAATGTCATAATTTCGGCAGAACTAAAAGACGATGAAGGACAAGGAATCAAAAGGAATACAAGATCAGAAGCTCCTTTTGTGTAACTTCCCGACAAACAAGAAACGGCATTACAGGGTTTCTCTTGAGAGTCTTAGGGACGTTACCTGACGTAGCCATACCGTGGTACTGCGGCTTTTATCCGTTTCCTGGGGACGCAACGTTCTGGAAAACTGCCCGAATAATCTATGAGCGTGTATTTTGTAGGAATGTTTGTGTACATTGTGCAAATTGGTTTGCTCCCTAGCGACAAAGTTTCACTACACCTTGAGTCCAGAAAACTCATATCGCCGACGATAGATCATGATCCTATGCAGGCCACAGGGTGACTAAAAACAAACCTATCCGCTGGCACTACTCTCTGTTTTTCCTTTACATCTGGCAGAATACACCTCAAAATTAGGATTTACAGGCAAATTCCGACCATTACTAACACTTGTTGCTAGCATTTGGTTGAAACTTTGCTAATATTTGCAAAGTATAACGTCGAATTTGATAATTTCGGTGTTAATCTGTTTCTGTTTTGTTCGTTATATCTTTTCCTGCTATTTTCTCGTTCCGACATTGGAATACCGGCCATCTTGGCAAAGCATTTCAGGATCTTCCTAAGCACCTGGAAGCAAACACCATGATTATACATCGGCGAGGCAAATACTTTCCATTTCATCGTGCATTTCTCGTCGAGTCCATCTTCTATCAGCGTCTTCAGTAAACAAACTCCGTGGCTCTTATTCCGCAAGCGAACTATACCGACCGAGCGACCGCCGCTTGTTGGCAAAGTCAGTTCCAACTTTAGCGGATAGAGGATGTCACGTGGTCAGCGCAACGGATCCCCACGGCCGTTAATCTCGGTTTTCTAAACCGAAGGAGCTACTTTTCCTAAGAAGTAGCTCCTCAATTATCCACACGAGGCTGAGTGGACCCCGTTCCAGAGCCACTGCTTCTCAGAAAATCTGGTAGCGCCGGGAATCGAACCCGGAGCCTCTGGATCTGCAACCTAGAACTCTGACCACAGAGGCGGTCTGCGTCTTAAGTAACCCATAAGAAATAAGTACTAGTATATAAGCCTTCCTATGGGTGTCTCTATCGTTGAGGTTTAAGAAGCAAAATTATGCACAATTTTTATATACTGTTTCCTTCGTGACCAATCCTTTGTAAGCCTAACAGTATTGGAACTCTCCATGTCATGATTTCAGCTCAATATAATATCCTTTATTACATCCGTCCTGCAGCAAGAAATGTGTGATTCAGTTGTGGGTACGGAACAGACATCAGACACTTACCAGATACCACATCTGCGGCCACCGGGGATCGTTGAGGTTCACTCGGTAGGAGCGCTGACGGAAAGGCAGCGGGTCTCGCTTCTGTCGTGACCTGACCACTTGCTGGCGGGCCCACTTCACCTGCAACCACACAACTCATCAGAAGGGGATACATTACACTGTCACGCATGCGCAGAGCTGAAACAACTGAAATTAAGCAACTGCGACTAGACGTCGCTAAATATTATTACGACAATGAAATGGAAGATACGATGGGTGGGATATGTAGCACACATTGCAGCAATGATAAACGGACCACAAGGATGTATTTCTCTCTTACGAAGCTACAGTTGCTGCTCAGCTACCCAGTAGATGCCCAGTATTTTATGGGGCCCGGAAGTTCATTACAGTGTTCATAAAAGCTCACCACACGTCCGCATCCAGAGAAAAATTAGTCCAGCCTATATACACCAAGTTCACTGTTACATTCTCCCATCTAAGGCAAGATCTTCTTAGTGGTCTCTTTCCTTCAGGTTCTCGTACCAAAACGTTTTACCGACTTACCTTCTCTCCTACGCGCGCTACATGCCCTCTCAATCTCATCCTCGTTGATTTGATTAGTCTAATATTTGGCGAACACTAAAAAAATATAAATCTCAATATGCGAGACAATAAGAAATGCACACAACAGTGTAGACAAGATACTAGGGGGATGAGACTATTCGAAACTTAAGCGTAGGTGGGAACAGACTACTAAACGAAACGCATGGAAATGGACCGTATTCACCTGGATCAGGGCGGGGTTCATTCGAGGGATTTTGTGAACACGGCAATGAGCTGTCATGGTCACTATTTTGTTCCGGAGAATAACAGTGCTCCTTGGAGTAACTTGGCCAGTTGATGGGGAAAAGGTAAAGATATAATTGTTCCTGTGCTTAACTAATTAAGCACTACGCCATGAAGGCGAATGAGAGAGTGGATGTATAGATCCACATTTTCTTGACCTCGGCGCTAGTTGGAAGTGACAATTTAACTGCCCCCAGCATCGAGGTTAAGAATCTGTGGAACAATTCCTCCACTCCCCCAAGTCTTCATGGCGTCGTGCTTAATTTATTAAGTATAAGATCAATAAGCCTTTCCCTTAATGTTAAATATGAATCTTATTTTGAAAGGCACTGTAGCCAACAACTTCTATTACGTCGGAAGGTTCTTAGAGAAACATTCATTACCTATAACCCAACCACTCAATTTCCTCTCTTCTGCAGAAAGAAATTAACCAGAACCGTCATTTCGTACATGCTGTAAATAGCTTCAGCGAGCTTTTTCCTTTAACCAAATTTTCTTCCCGTATTTCAGCAAGCGTTTCTAAATCCCCCACTTCTCTCCCGTCTCTCACCCAAAATCGCCCGCTGCCTCATCCTGATGGAAGGGAATTCATTTGAGAAGTCTGCTACGTATATTGAAAGGCTATATGCATACAGAGCACCTTGTGGAATTGTGGACTCTACCCAGAAACGAGCACACAATTTTAATATAACGAATTCTGTTTAACATACATTGCAACAGCCACACGAGTTAACTTAGACAATGGATTACTGAACAAGTACACGAATTTCGAATAAATAACAGCGATTCCGGCAGAACAGTAATGTCATTTTAATTAAAACATGTTTTTCACAATGCCGCAGTTTACAGATACAATTCCACATTTGTTACCATGCATTACCAATCAGATCTAGTCGATATTGCTACCTCGAAAGCTGAAAATAATTTATTCATACATCAAATTAATATTCATTTCAAAGAGTAAAGTGATTAAAATTTCAAACTTAAGCCAAATTCGAGTGATCTCTTTACGTCGCTTCTTTTTCAATTAACTTTCGAACTATGAGTCACGGTTAATGTTGTTCAGATCCTGTTGGAAGCACTGAGAAACATTTCTGATTAGTTACGTAGTAAGGAATACTGATACCAAAGCAGTTTTACTAACGTCTCAACTGCCTCACTTGTAGCACGCGAAGTACCTTGACTTGAGGACAGTGAAATATTCACACACAAGCATTTGGATAACTTCATGCTCCGGGGCCTCCCCATTTCGCAAATAAAGTGAAGTTGATGGTGCATCTGTTTCAGACCCGGAATGCAGGATTGTGCTAGCTATGTCAGTGAACAAAGAAAAGGAAGAGTAGAGAATGACGGAAGAAGAGAAAGCTAAAAGCAGAGACGCCGAGCGAGTTGATGTAGCGGTAACATTCCAAAATCGTATTCCGGAAGTGTTCCGTTTGAAACCCGGCTGGAACACCGGCTACTCTGACTGAAGTTATTTTTGCTTTACCTCAGTTTCTCCAAGAAAATAGGTGGATAGTAACACATAACGGCCATTTCGTTCCCAATCCGTTCCAATTCATCGTTCATCTAACATACTACCAATCGAAGCTACGTAGATCCGACAGAGCCAGCGACGTAAAATACGCCGAAAATAGAAAGGAATATGGTGGAAGTACAGGGAAAGAAGACATGAAGAAGAGGAAAAGAGAAGATGAAAAATAACTTCAGAATAAGAACACTAATTTCCGTGAAGCTTAAAACGATCTCAATAGTTCGATCTGAAGACAAATGCGTTTCTAATTCGCACCGTGGATCGGAGTGATTTTCCTGAAGCAGGTCACTGTTCAGATAGTGAGGGAATTCCCCGTCTTTTATAAAATCAGGCGTCTCATTACCGTGCTCACAGGAGCCGGCCATTAGCCACTATCCTGAGCCACGCGAAATCGAATTCAAACACTCGCCTCCTATTTCCTTAGATCCATTTCTAGTGCTAATTGTCTCACTTACAACTCGGAAGATTTTGGCGCTTCAGTCCTGTCTTATAAAACTGTATGATTCTTATCCCTTTCTTGCGAACAAGTTCCACGCACCTCATCTCTCCTGACAGTCTTCTGCGAACAGTCAATTCACCCTCGCATGCAGTAAATGCCTTTGTACTGAAACTGCCGACAGACAATAAGCAGTTCCTCTCCTATAAATTAATATATAAATGATTCTTATGGAAATTTCTATTTCACAGGAAGTGATGTAGTGTACTCTGGTCGAAACGTAAGCCAAGCAGTGCTATTTGCTGTTTGTTTCTCGCTGGTTATTCCCGTGGCTTTCTCTTCCATCCAGAAAATGGAAGCATCATTTTCCTAAATAACGTCGGGGAGTTCGACCGGATTATATGGACTTTCTTTCCTAATAAATAGTAGAACTACTCTTCACTGTGAGCCAGGGTAGCGCAGTCGGTATAGCGACTGGTTACGGGCTGGACGACCGAGGGGTCGGAGTTGGAGTCTCGGTAGGGTTAGGATTTTCTCACCTCCATATCGTCCACCAGACCGGGTATCGGGAACACCCAGCCTCCTATCCAATGGGTACTGAGGGCTCTTTCTCCGGGGGTAAAGCGGCCTGGGCACGAAGCTGACAACTTGCCTCCAGCTAGTGACGAGGTAAAGAAAATGTGGATCTATACATCCACTCCCCCATATGCCTTCATGGCGCAGTGCTTAATCAGTTAAGCACAGGTACAACTTTACCTTCTTTTACCTCTTACCTAATCTTCATTGTCACAGGTATGAAAACAGAAACCACAGAAATAATGGTATTTCCGGAAGTGCCCGAATGAATATTTATACTTGTCGTTAAACGTGTGTCACTTCCGCTTATAACTGCAGAACTTCAAGCAATATGTATGTGAGCACGTCAATCGATATAAGCGGCATTGGTACTCCTCACTGAAGCTGTATTTGGATGCTAGCGCCGTGGACAGGAGGCAACTTCTCCGGTTCCTGTGTGAAGCGTGTTGCCTAAATGAAGGTCTGTAGGCGTTCCAAAGTGACGAATCTGAGGAGTGAATACTACAAACTATTGCTGCATTTGAGGTTCTCACAGCGGTGACTACGAAGAGTACTGTTTTCTGGAATGTGACCCGTAGAATTTCACCGACGTTTCGGAGGAATATATGGCCTACATCTTGAAAGATGCAGAGAAACCCAAGCAACCGGTAAGACGTAAGAAGTAGGTCTCCTTGCTGGCGCCATGCTTGGCTCTCTGTTCGACATTTAATATGGAGGAAGTACGTTTCTCCGAAACGTCTGTGCACTTCTATTGGACTATATGGCATCGTTCGAACCACAAAACTCCGTGGCTTTAGTCCGCAAGCAAACTATACCGACCGAGCCATCGCCGCTTGTCGGCGAAGTTACTGCCAACTTTTGTGAATAGAGGGTGTCGCGTGGTCAGCACAACGAATCCCCACGACCGTTAATTTCGGTTTTCTAGACCGTAGCCGCTATTTCCTTGAAATAGTTCCTCAAATATCATCACGAGGCTAAGTGGACCCTGTTCCAGACTAGCTACTTCTCAGAAAAATATCTGGTAGCGCCGGGAATCGAACCCGGGACCTCTGGATATGTAGCCAGGAACTTTGAGCACTAGACCAGCGAGGAGGTCCTACATGGCATCACTTTCAAGAAAATATTACTCTTTACAAAATGTCAAACTGTGGGTGAGTTGTCCAGATTATTTAAACCAGGGTTTGAAAGTTGGATCAGTTGTATGTGTCCACTCCATGGCCATCTCACAAGTGCCCATTCTTACGCCGGGAATGCGCGCGCATCTCACGGTTCACATTTGCTCTCTCGTTCGAGAGCATCTATTCTCTATAACGCACAGCGAGTGCTGAATCAGGGACACTGTAGCAATAGGATCGAAGTGATGCATTATGGGATCGTATTTTATCAGTACGGTTCTGGTCGTTCGCTTCCCAACAACTATAATACAGCACAACTCTCACTCTTCCAACTGAATGCCATGCATCAGTGTGGATCTAAGGAGGATAAAATACAATGATGCTTGAGACAACTGAATAATGAGTAGCTTCGAGCTTTGCACACAAAGACAGAAGTATAATGATCAGGCATGTAGCACAAATACGAGAAGAAAAATAAACACAGCGGTTTGATATGAAAACTAGGAAGACCTAGGAGTAGACGGAGCCTAAATAAATAGGATGGGAGGATGAGAACTGAATTCACCTGCCTTACAATACGAACCAATGACAGGCACTTGTGAACACGGTAATTAAACTTTAGATTTGAAAAAAA